TTAAGAGGGAAAAAAAAAAAAAAAAACCCCTCCCAAAAAAAAAAAAAAAAAGTAAACCCTGCAAACCCATCGGTCCAGGTCACTTTCCCTCCTCTGGGGAAGGAGTGAGGAAGTTTTATTGTCTTCAGAAGATCTGCATGTATGGAACCAGAGGGAAGCTCTTCAAAATCTAGGGCCAATGGCAAGAGGTTTCCTTAAGTAGTAGAGGAAGCAGGAGTGATATGCTAATAACTGTTCAAGAAGAAGAGGACGCGCCAATTAGAAAGAAGCATGAGGTCACTGGTGGCCAATGTGACACGTTTCTGTTGGCGCTGGCCCCCATTGTAGCACTCCACTCTCCTGTTCTCTCAGCTCCACAGAGTACCCCTGATTTCCAGTCAGGGTTTTTTTAAAGAGAGCTCAAGAAAGTTAGGTGAGTTGGCCAAAGTTACACAGTTAGTTCCAGAACAATCACTGTCAACTTAATGTATATATTTAATTCTTCATTATAGGAAATGTTAAATATATCGAAGAGAATAGCAAAATAAACTCCACAGTATCCATCACCCATCTGCAACATTTGCGGATACTTGGCCAGTCTTATTTCACTGTGATTCACTGCCGAGATGATGGCAGGAAAAGTAACTTGTTTCTAAATGATAAATCACAGGGTGTCACATTGGCCTTTTTTTGTGAGAAAAGGCCAGAGTCCGTTGATATCCTTTGTCCTCACTTTCTTTTTCCCACTAGGCCGCCCTCTAACTTCCTTTTCTGAAATATGTTGCTGTAGTCATTTCCTGTTAGAAGATGCCTGAAATTGCCATCTATACATTTTTTTGCCCTGACTTTGCTTTTAGAAACAGCTAAACAGGAAGAGGTTCCAAATAGAGAATGCTACATCTAGAGCCAAAAAAGTGCGCAGATGGCTTCTGGTTGGTAGGAAATCGTTGGTAGCATTTTCCCTAGATTCTTTCCTCCAAGTTTTTGTTGCATTCTTTACCAGAAGCCACCTAAAATAGAGGACTCTATGCGAGAAGCCGAGGTCCTCTGAATACCCCAGAACAGATGCCTCCTTGGAATCAGTACATGAAGAGCCAGATGTAGCAGCTTTGTCCTCTCCGGGAGCTGCACACTAGTGTTAACTGCTCAGTCTCTCACCCGTGGCCCAATCCAGCCATGAAGCGAGTCCTTTCCTTTGCCCTCCTCCTTCAGTGTCTTCTAGGGTGACTGGAGGAAAACACCTCTGACTGCCTACCCTTCCTGTCTCAATTTCGTTCTCCGGTCATCAGGCCTCAGTCTTGCTGTGTCTGCCAGGGTGTATGTTTGACTCCTGTCTCTTTGCCTCCCAGTTCATCAACTTGCAAGAGAACGGCCAGAGCAACGCGGACGGTGTGAGTGAGCGGGCTGTCGCAGAGTTGTGGCTGCAGCACAGCTTGCAGTGCCACTGTCTGTCAGCCCAGCTCCGGCCTCTGCTTGGAGACAGACAGTATATCAGGAAGTTCTACACAGGTGGGTAGAGGTCGCTTAGTCGGGATTGTTGCAGGTACTTCCTCACTCTCCTGCATCTCACTATTTCTCTGAAGACTCTCTAACCCCATGGCCTCATATTTTTTACCTAATGCCATAGAAATTCTACTCAGAAACATGTATCTGGTCTTCCCTTTCCCCTCCACCTAAAATACCATCAAACTTTATGCTGAGGTATTCACCTACTTCCATCTTCCAAACCAGTAAGAAAAACTGCCAGTTACTTACCCAGAGTTTCCTGTGTGCCTGTCACTGTTGGACTGTACTTCTCACCACAGCCCTTAGAGATGGATATTAGTATGCCTGTTTTCCAGTTAGAGAAACAGAGTTTAAGGAGGTTAGATGACTTGGTCAAAGTCACCCAGAGGCAGGTTCAAATCTAGGTCTTTCTGGGTTTGAAACCTCTCGTTTCGGCCTCTTATACGTTTACTTGTCCCTTGTTCCCCTTTTCCCACGGTGGTGTGATTCTCCTCAGTCCGTTTTTCCTCCTCCTTCTCTCCCTGAGCTTCTCCCAGGGCCATACAGGGAAGCTAAAGCTCGCTCTGTTGGGCTCCATCACTGTGGTAGCTTTTCTCTCCCCAGATACTGCTTTCCTGCTAAGTGACGCCCACGTCACCGCCATGCTCCAGTGCCTGGAAGCAGTGGAACAGAACAACCCTCGTCTCCTGGCTCAGATTGACGCGTCTATGGTAAAGGAGGCTAGGAATTATCCGTGTCTGTGCTGGGCCCCTGGACCTCACCTCGATGTAACCCTCTGTAGCAAACTACTTCATGTAGGCAATTCTGAGCTGAACGCTTTTATTTATTTTTATTTTTATTTATTTATTTTTTTTGGAGAGATTTTCACTGTAGGGCGCGTGCGCTCGCCAGACAGACAGAGAGAGACATAGAGACAGAAAGCGAGAAATCACCCCCCAGGGGGTATGGTCACGCCGCAATCCCTTCTCCTCCATTCTCCTCTCGGGATCTTGGGCACGCACGCACACGCGCCCGTGAACGCTTTTATTTTAATAAGTGCTTAGAGAGAAGGGGAGATACCATTAAGTACCTATTGAAGTAAAAAGTCTAAGTTTAGTCTGTTTACTAGGGGGAGAGGGTATTTTTTTTTAAACCCTTAGGATCTTTAGTCTGAGTAAGCATCCCCTTAAGGGCAGGCTTCACAAAGAGCTTGGGGAGAAAGAGAGGTGGTCCTGAATCAGGAGCAGAGTTTACAGCGTCCGATCTAGTGTGGCTTAGAGTTACATGAGTATGATTTTTCTTCAGTGCAAGGAAAATTTTGTAGCACAAAGCACATTTTGTTGCCTGTAATTGACTTACTCCATCACTAATACTCTAGTTAGTATTTTAACCGGAAAAGAATTCCGAGTCTCTGCTCCTTTTAGTGGGAGAATCTTCTCTCTCTCCTAGTTGTTTTAATTTTGATTGTTGATTACCAGTCATGGAACACTTTTTTTTTTTTAATCATTTAATCCATACAACTGTGAGGTGGTCATTAATCTCATTTTATAAAATAGGAGGCCACTGAGGTACAGAGTTTAGACCAAATAGCTTATAAGTGACAGGACCTGTTTGAACCCTGTTCTGACTTCTTCCTCCACATGCAGAGTCTTTATTTATTTATTTTTTTAGTTAGTTAGAGGTTTTTGCATTAGGGTGCATGCTCTCGCCATGGGGGAGAGAGAGAGAGACAGACAGTGAGAGGAAAAGTGAGAAATCATCCCTCAGGTGGGATGGCTACGCCACAATCCCTTCTCTATTCTCCCGGGATCTTGGGCACGCATGTACACATGCCTGGTGTGATTTTCAAGCCACCAGGTCTGGGACACGAACTACAGTTGGCCATGTGGGAGTCCAGCAACTTAACTGCTACACCATCTGCTGCCCCGCCACATGCATAGTCCTAAGGACTTGGTTGTGCTGCCTCTGTGAAGAAGCACTCCTGGTTTGACCACCTTGCAGGATCCCAGTGCAGAAGCTGTGGCACATGGCAGGATTTCGGGGTGTCAGAGCTTATGTGTAGTGGAGGGTGGCCGTGCCTCTCCGCAGCCTTTGTCGCAGTGCAGGTCTGCTGCCACAGGCCAGCTTCCACCACCGTTCCTGCAGTGCTTAGTTCCCCTTGTCTGAGGCCTCTATCCTTGACTCTGACACATGTGTTTTTGTTTTGTTTTGTTTCAGTTTGCCAGAAAGCACGAGAGCCCACTGCTGGTAACAAAGAGCCAGAGCCTGACAGCTCTGCCTGGTTCCACATACACCCCACCAACCAGCTATGCTCAGCATTCCTACTTCGGATCCTTCTCGAGCCTCCACCAATCCGTACCCAATCATAGTGCAGGTGTGGGAGCCGGAAGGGGTGATCATTTTATGCATCCCCAGTGCTGGAAAATAGAGGACTTTGTGGGTGCCCGCAAACTGGGGATTGTGCCTTGGGTTGGTGCAGTTAGTCAGACTTCATCTCTCTCTCTTTTTTAAAAAATTATTTAACTTTATTTATTTATTTTAATTTGACCAGAGAAGGATAGAGAGAGAGAGAGAGGAGAGAAAGACGCCAGGTCCAGAACATGAACTGCAGTCAGTTGTGTGGGAGTCCAGTGCCCTAACCACCATGCCACCTGCCGGCCCCCACAGTTATCTCTTAATAACGGACATCTTAAAAAGTTATGCATGACTAGCTGAAGATAATTTAGCAGAATCATTAAAATAACAGAGGAAAGAGATGCTTTTAGATTCCACCGTGTTTCTAATCCCCGTTGCCAAGAAGGCATTTAAATAATAGCGAACATAGAGACCTACCACATGCTAGACTCTGCTGTAATCAGATTATATATATTATCTCATTTGATCCTTAATACAGAGGTAGGTATTACTCATTTTATGGATGAAGAATGTGTGCTAATAAGCAATAAAGCCATTGCCTCAGGCCCACAAATAAAGCCACTGTCTCAATCTCCTGACTTAACTGCTTCTCTAAATAACTTTTTACTTCATTTGACTCACCTTTTTCTGACGTGACACCAGGTGTACTGAACTTAGGGAGTTTGGTCTTTACTTGTAGAGAAGTCCTTCGTATATACCAGAGGATTCCAGCTCATCTGTCTCTCTCTTTTCTCTTTTTACATCCTAGAGAGAAGATCTACTTCCTTTTCACTCTCTGGCCCTCCTCGGAAACCTCAAGAAAGCAGAGGGCACGTCTCACCAGGAGAGGATCAAACCGTCCAAGCTCCCCTACTTTCAGTCTCTGCACTAGCCAGGGATCCCTCCTCGACCCCAAATGAGATGAGCTCCAGTACTCTGACCAGCCCCATAGAGGCTTCCTGGGTCAGCAGCCAGAACGATTCCCCAAGTGATGCCAGTGAGGGGCCCGAGTACCTGGCCATTGGCAACCTGGACCCCCACGGCCGGACCGCCAGCTGTCAGAGTCACAGCAGCAATGCCGAGAGTAGCAGCTCCAATTTGTTCTCCTCCAGCAGCTCCCAGAAGCCAGATTCTGCTGCTTCTTCCTTAGGGGACCAGGAGGGAGGAGGGCAGAGCCAGCTGTCCAGTGTCCTCCGCAGGTCCAGCTTCTCAGAGGGGCAGACACTTGCTGTCACCAGTGGGACAAAGAAGAGCCATATCCGCTCCCACTCAGATACCAGTATTGCCTCCAAGGGAGCCCCAGGTAATGATGGGCACCAGTCACTCGTGAGCAAGCTGACTCTCTGAATTTAGGTAGAATGGAGGGTTTGCTCTTGAGGCTTTTCAAATGACAGAAAGAGAAGTTACATTTCTGATGACAGAACATCCTGCTTTTTAATGAAAGAAGTTTATTTATTTTTTTAAAGAATTATTTTATTTAGCTTTATCTATTTATTTACTCGTTTTAATTTGACCAGAGAGGGACAGAGTGAGAGAGTGAGAGAGAGAGTGAGAGAGAGAGAAAGTGAGAAAGCAACCCGCCAGATCTAGGACTCGAACCACAGTCAGCCATGTGGGAGTCCAGCACCCTCAACCACCACGCTACCTGCCAGCCCCAGAAGTTTATAATATAATACTGATCACCAAGAAATCTCTGAGTATATTTATGCTCTTTCCTTTATATGTTGTTAAATATTAAATGCTTTCCTAGATCCTTTCACTAGTTCCTTAATATCAGAAGATAGTGTGAATCATCGTCCTTCAAGTTCTAAATGTGCCTCTCAGACAGAGGGAGAGTATTAATGAGCTTTTAAAATAATCCCATTAAATTCCTCTCCTTCCTATGATTCCTCCGGCTCCCTTAACCACTTGACAGGCTGTAATACCAATATGAGAGAGGCAGAGTGATACTAGGGTTTCCTGGTTAGAAGTAGGGGTGTTTGAGTATGGGATGACGTGACCTATAGTCAGTGACGGGGCTGACTGCTGCATCACCTGATTCGGGCTCAGAGGCCCTGGCCACTGAGGCCTCCTTCCCAGGAACACCAGCTGATGGCAGGGAGCAGCCTAGCTGGGAAGGTGGATCTCGTTGCTTTGGCCATCTCCCTGCCACCATCTTTCCTGGATTATTAGTATCTGGCAGGCTTTGGTTGGGTTTTATTTGTAGTAAAATATTTATCACAGCAAACATAGCCTGGATTTCTGCTTAAAGCCATTGCGGATCAGGAAAGTCCCAGGAATAAAATATAAAAATAAAATGTAAAAAAAAAAAAATTTAAGACTTAAAAAAGAGAGTACAAGAAATATTTCTTTTAGCAACTGGAGCTGCCATTCCTTTTCCTTTCTTTTTACAATTTCTAGAAAGGTGGGGAGCTAATGCCCTCATCTGAAACCTTCTGAATGATTAATTGTCTGTTTTCCCTCAAGAGCATGATTTGACTTTAGGAGGAAAATCTCCAAATCAAAGCCTGTCTTTCCACGAGCTTGCTTAGCTGTGAAGGTGCTTGAGTTCGAGCCACTTCACATCCCCTGCTGCAGGCCTGCTTATCTACTGTTCTCCAGGCCACTGGCTTTTGAGCATGTAACACTTCCCTGCCCCCGTTCTTGAATCCTTGTGGATTCCAGAAACCACGGTAACCTGCACTGGAAAAGGGAGCCAAACCCTCTGTAGAGGGAGAGGTCGTGTGTAGCTTCCCTCCTTCAGCACTGGGGTCCCTCCTTGGGAGTTTCGTTCCTGCCTCTGCTAGGTAAAGGACTCTTTTTTTCTCTCCCTGTTCTTGTTTGCTCTGTCTGGACTCTCCTCTGCACCTATCTGTCTACCTGCAGGAGCCCCCAGGAGTATCACCATTATAGTTGAAGATCCCATTGCAGGTTTGGGAGCCAGTTCTCCACCTCCTTCCTCTGCTCCTCTGTGACCACCTTGCTTAGCTCAGAACCTCCTTTTCCAGTCTGGTGTCAAATCAAGTCTCACTAATCTGGTCCCGTTGTGATGCTTGGACCCATCTGTAAAATGGTACCAGTATTTGGTGTGATATGTTTTATACCTACACCTTCCAAATGCCTCATTCAGTCTCCCAACAGTTTCTGGGACAGAGTCAAGACTAATTGACTCCGTTTTGCCCAAAGGTGAAACTGAGGCTTGCTTTTTGTCTAAGGCATCAGGATGAATCAGTGGCAGAATTTTTCTTGTAACTCAGTACTTATTATATTATGGATTCCTCTATTTCCCTTGAATTAACACCAGAATGTCTTTTATCCTCTTTCTGTGGTCGTGGGTATATTTGCATGTTTTTTTTTTCCCTCTTCTAGAATGCCATCCTTTTTCTCCACCCCTCTTCATTTTGCTCTAAGTCCCTGTGCCCCATTTCAGCCATTGCACGAGATTTTTCTAGTGACTTAAGTCTGTTTTCTTGGTTTTTGTAGCGGTATTCAGACAGATTTGTGTTCCGTTCTGAGAACCACGATCATGGAGGTATTAACGCTAGTAGAATGTGTCTGCAAGACAGAGTGGTGAGGGAGGACTAAAACCAAGGCCTCCTGGGAGCGGGTGGTAGGTATGTTAGCTAGGAAAAGAGAAGGCTAAGGAGGAATAAAGTCTGCAGGACTGTCATTGAGAAGATGAGCAATTGTAAGAAGGCAGATTTCAGGTGAATGGGCAGCATTACGGGTAGTGAACCCAGTGAGCAAAGGCTGAATGACCTCCTGTTGTACAGGTGGTGACTGCCAGGTCATCCTCAGTTTACCAGCAAGGAGACAAGCCCCCTGCCAGGGCTGCCAGAAGTCTCTGAGGCCCAAAGAGAACAGAAAATTATTTCTTATGCTTTTTTTTTTTTTTTTTTTTTGACAGCAGCAGCTGACAGATTGACACTTTCTGGCAGGAAAATGGGTAGGATGCAGCTCAGTCATTCATTGTCCCAGAGCATCCTGCCTGTTTCTCGGGAGCTTACCTGTTCTTCCTTCTGTAGCACAGAGATACTGTGTTTCTGTTTGAAGAATATTCGTTTTTCTTTCCTTTTTATTTTTTAAAGAATTTTTTTATTTAACTTTATTTATTTATTTGAATTTGACCAGAGAAAGACAGAGTGAGAGAGAGAGAGAAAGTGAGAAAGCAAGCTGCCAGATCTGGGATCTGAACTGCAGTCAGCTATGTGGGAATCCAGTGCCTTAAACCACCACACCACCTGCCGGCCCCTCCCATTTTTTTAAATTGCCAGCAGGTATGTGTGTGCTCACCAGCAAGAGAGAACGCCCTCCCTCCAAGTGGGTATGATCATGCCATAATCCCTTCTCCTCCATTTTTCCATCCCACTGGGATTTTGAATATGCCCATTGTGTTTTTTAAGCCACAGGGGATGGTTCTCAAACTGGTAGTCTGTAGGCTCTGACTCCCTTAACCACTACCCTGGGAGGCTGGCTCAGTTTTTCATCTCCTAAGAGCCCTGCCTTTGCTATTTCTCCACTCCCAGTTCTCACTATTCTCATTCCCAAACACTTTCTGCTCTGCCAGCTTTCTCTTGAAACCTTTCCCTTCCTTCTCCAGTAAGGCCAGGCCCAGGGCCCTATGACTAAGCCTTTTGGTTACAAGGCCATTATTCTTGGCCTCTCCTGCATTGCCTCAATGCTGCTTCTGTGGAGATCATTGCATTTTGTTTTACTTCCTTAGTGAATGTAAACCTTCTGATACCTTTTAAAACCCAGTGCCAAGATACCAGAGAAATTTCAATGTGCTGGTCCTTATTTTACCATCTGAAGACTATTTTCTAAATTGGTTTGTCAAGAGGATAGAAATTGGCTGTTATTCCCATAATAATTGGTTAGAAGATAGAAGAAAACTAAATTCAGGACTCCATTTTGATTTGATTTTTGATAACCTTTGTGTCATGTTTTGGATCATGTTTTCCCTCTCCCCTTAGAATGTGCTGATCTCCTCCCCTCCTTCCCTCCATGCGTCCCTGTATTCTTGGACTGTTCCCTGCCGGTGTGCCACCTCTCGCCTGTTTGGGAGGGCTTTGGACATGGGAGCAGTTCCATGTTGACTCTCCAAAGTTGGGGCTGTTTCTGTAGTTCATTGTGTGTTTTTACTCCCTGGTGGTCACTGACACTAGAATCCTGCAACGATAAGTCGAAGCTGAGAGGCCCCTTGTCCTCCGGCCAGAGCAGCGAGGTCAGCACGCCCAGCTCTCTGTACGTGGAGCACGGTAAGTGAGCACCGGCAAGGCCAGAGCCCACTTGTGTCTTCTCTGCCCTCCGCTGGTGCCTGCTCCCCTGCTGCTTGCCTGGCTCTGCGCTCTGGGGCTCATCTCGGGCCTATGGAGGGTACATGCTGTGCGTTCTCACCCACGCTTCTGTCATTTTCAACCACTGTGCTATAAATCACACCCTCCTGCCATTTCTCTTGCTCCTCTCTCACTTAGGGGTCTCACCCTCTCTTTTTCTTTTCTTTTTCTTTTTTTTTTTTTTTTTTAAGTTTTGTGGTAGAGCGCATGCACTTGCTCGAGAAAGACACACAGAGAGAGACAAAGTGAGAAATCGTCCCCTAAGGGGAATGACCACACCACAGTCCCTCCTGTCATTCTCCTTTTAGAATTCCTGGCATGCACACACACGTGTTTTTCAGGCCATCTTGTCTTGAGACTTGAACCACGGATCCAGCACCTTAACCTCCATGTCACCTGGTGGTCCTCTCACCCTGTCTTATGTCTTGGCTGTTAGCACTATGAATGTCTGTTGCTCCAGATGAAATGATTCTCTGGGTATGTGCGAGAGATCTTGAAAAAAGGCTTTTGAGTATCTGGGCTTAGTTACCAGAAGACAAGTTCCACACGGAAATTATGCACGGGAGGAAGTCTTTTGGGTTTTTAAATGTGTGTGTTTGTGTGTGTGTATGTATGTATGTGTGTGTGTGTGGTAGGAGGAGAGTATGTTGTCTTTAAATTTAGATGGGAAAGACTGCCTCTGGGCTCTCACCATTTATTCTACCATTCTCCAACCAAGAGGCTTAGTCCTCTAGGATTCAAAGTGTGTGGGACACTCCTTTAGATGGCAGACCTCTTCTCTCCAGCTTCTAATTCGCTGTCACCTGGGAAGACTTGGGAGCATCTTTAGTGGTAAACTTTTTTTTTTTTTGAGCGGTTTTTGCTTTAGGGCACATGTGCTCGCCACACAGACAGAGACAGACAGAGAGACAGAAAGCGAGAAATCCCCCCCCCCAGGGGGGATTGCCCGGCCGCAGTCCCTTCTCCTCCATTCTCCTCTTGGGATCTTGGGCGCGCACGCACATGCGCCCGGCGTGAGTTGAAGCCACCGGGTCCAGGATGCGAACCGCGGTCGACTACGTGGGAGTCCAGCGACATAGCCATTACGCCAACTGCTGGTCCCAGTGGTAAAAATCTTAAGGCTTCTCAAAGAAGCTTGACAGTTATAGATTTTGCATTTCAAGTCCAGAGCGTTTTACACCCACATTCCCTTTTCTCACAGAGGGCAGTCAGTACTTGTGTTCGGGGGAAGGCATGTTCCGAAGACCATCAGAAGGACAGTCCCTCATCAGCTACCTCTCTGAGCAGGACTTTGGTAGCTGTGCAGACCTAGAAAAGGTGAGGAATCTATGGGACTAATGAAGAGCTTATGAGTTGGGAGATCTGTCCTGTGCCTGCGGTACACAGCAGTGACACGGGTACAGACTACAGTGACCACAGGAGCAGCCAGTAGTGCTGGTAACACAGCACTCTGCAATGCTGGATACACACGGGAAGGTCCCAGGTTCACATCCCGAGGCATCCCTGTACACTTTGGGCGCACATTCCTGTGAATCCAGGCTGCCCAGGTGTGGATTGTGGCGTGAAGACCCTATTGGGGGTGACCCCTTCTGTCTCTGTCTCTCTCATGGAGGAAATAAATAAATAGACTTTTTAAACATCTACATTCTAATAAAGATAAGCTTAGCAAGTTTTATTTCTGAGAAACACTTCAGGAAACACATGCTCCTCAGTGAGTCCAAAATACTAGTAATTTTATCTTAGAAGCTACCCTGGGCAGAGAGACATTGAATTTTAGCCATGCGGTTATTATTCCCCTGACCCTGGTACTTTAGGAAAATACTCTTTCCAGAATGGACTTCTGTTTTTTTTCTGAGACTCGGATATGTAATAAGCAATGTCCCTGTAGAGGTCTAGAGCTTGCAAACACGTTTCTCTTGAGCCATTGCGTTTCCCTTACTACTTAGTGTTCTGGTGTGTGACTTTGGAAAACAGCCCGATTGAAACCCTGGGCCTTGTTCTCTTTCATGTTTTCATGTAGAAAATGGGACAGGAGTGGGTACACATGGCCGGCTCTTGCTACGACAGCAAAGAGAATCCAGAACAGTGTTCCTGGCCTTTAGCTTTCCTTACAGTAGAGGTGTGCTGTACTTTTCCTCAGTGTGTTCGATAAAAGCAGCGTGTCTCTTGGGAGCTTCACGTTCCCACATTACGTAATCAGTGAGGCGTAAATCACTGCTAGTCCCCTGCCAAGCAGTTTCTCCGGCATTGGTGTTCCCCCAGGAGAATGCCCACTTCAGCATCTCGGAGTCCCTGATTGCTGCCATTGAGCTAATGAAGTACAACATGATGAGCCAGTGCCTGGAAGAAGGGGAAGTGGAGGAGGAAGACAGTGATCGGGAGATCCAGGAACTGAAGCAGAAGATCCGCCTTCGGCGCCAGCAGATCCGCACCAAGAACCTGCTCCCCATGTACCAGGAGACCGAGCATGGCAGTGAGTGCAGCCTCCAGACACCGTATTCCCAGTTCCTCGTGGCTTCGGGATAAGGCTCGATGCCTCATGGGCTTTCTTTTTGGTCTTCATTTGGGATGTTTTGGGATATTTTGCTCTAGCCAAGGGCTCCTCTGATGTAAGAAAGATATTCTATGTTCCTTTTTTTTTTTTTTTTTTTTCTTATCAAACTAGTAATACTCATCTTAGATGCCATCCATTTCCTACTTCAGGAATAGTTCCCTTTGAAAATAGGTTCTGATGGGAGGAAAACTAAGACCAGATTGCTTCCCAGATAGTAGTACCTTCTATTTACGTGAAACTTTCAAAGGGAATCCACCAGCAGGAAGAGCCAGTTTCCATCCCTATAGCATCACTCCCAGTCAAGGTTCTATTTCCTTCTTTCTGACAAAGTCATTCCATGTGCCTTTCTGTGACACTGAGAGGAGGAGGAGACGTTTTTCTGTCTTGTTTATGACCTTTTTTTTTTTCTTTCAGGCTTTCGGGTCACTTCTAGCAGCTCCCAGTTCAGTTCACGTGATTCAGCACAGTTCTCTGACTCTGGCTCTGCTGACGAGGTTGATGAGTTTGAAATCCAAGGTAAGGGTGACTGGCACTTTGTTACCAGGGAACCTTCCTTTCCCCGTGTCTCTCCATGTGGAATCATAGGGGGAGGAGTTTCTCTAAGTTGAAGATCTTCATTATGGTCCATTATAGAATGTTGTGGAGCAGCTAAAACAAACCCCCTTTGCTAAAAAAACAAAAACAAAAAACAAAACGAAACCCCTTTAAAATGTAAGCAGAACATTAACATACTAAAAGGAAGCATTCCAGGTAGGTTTGGATGGCTACTGATGTCACCCTGACACTTCTTTCTCAATTGCGTCTTTCTCTGGGGTTCTCACTCTTATTCTTCTAGCTCTGAGGGCTGGCTCACACCACATGAAATTAGAGTCCTAGTCTTTCGTGTTCCATAGCACAGCTGAAATGATCTCACAGTGTTCGCAAGGAGCTTTATTGTAAACCTGAGGGAAAAGGACAAGAAGAATCGTGGAGGTGGGCCAGAAAGGTCAAGGGTACAAAGTAGAGCTTTAATTGCTGTCCTGCCAGTGCTAACTTGCTTAGCGTCACATGCTCTTTTTGTTATTTTTTATTGTTGCTGAAAATCTAGCATAGAAAAGGGAAAGGGGCCAGCAGGTGGCATGGTGATGAGGGCACTGGATTCCCACATGGCCAACTATGGTTTGAGTCCTGGACCTAGTGGCTTGAAAATCACGCTGGACGTGTGTGCCTTTGTGCCCAAAATCCCCGGAGGAGAGTGGAGGAGAAGGGATTGCAACGTGGCCATCCCCCCAGGGGGTGATTTCTCACTTTCGTTCTCACTGTCTCTCTCTAGTGAGTGCATGCACCCTGTGGCAAAACAAAACAAAACAACAAACAAACAAAAACAAACAAACAAACAAACAAACAAAAAACACTAAAAGATGGGGGGTGGCTAATGAAGCAGGAAGGGTTTTAATCAATCTGCAGTGGCAATTGTGTTAAATTAGGTTAGTGTTCCATTCCTGCAAAGCATAGATTTCTGCAGGCTCCCAAAACAAACAGAGAAATAAACAAACAGAAATTTGAGAGAGGGATCAGCAAGTGGCCTGGTGGTTAAAGGTGCTGGACTCCCACATGGCCAACCATTAGTTCAAGTCTCGGACGTGGTGGCTTGCTTTCTCACTTCCTCTCTGTCTCTCTCTGATCAAACTGGAAAATAATAATGATAATAATAGTAAATAAAGTTAAATAAAATAATTCCTTAAAAAATTCAGAGATAGAAGCCCTTCCTCCATGGGTGAGACTGAGAGTACTGTAATTTCCTTATAGAAGTGATTATATCTCTAATTCTCCACCATAACATTGCAACATGTTGACAAATAGATGTTTCATTGCATGAGGCACTGACTTCCTTTTATACCAAGCTAGAACACATTCACCTGCACAGGCCTCGATGTAGCCAGGTCCGAGTTTATTTGGGCCACCCGGGGGTCCTGAGCCTAGAAGGTGTTGGGCCTCTTGGTGGTGAAACGAGGCTTGTGCTGGCGCCGCAGGACGCGGTGGGGCAGCGGGAACTTGATGTTGGAGTTGTGGAACTGCTTGACTGTGGGCTGGCGGCACTTGCTGGCCGCGATCTCCTCTACCTTTGTGATCTGGGTGGAGTGGGCGTGGGTGCGGTGCCAGGCGCCCATGTCGTGGTAGCACTGGGTGACGGCGCTCCCATGGTGAGGTTGCGGTATTCACGGTACACGTTGTGCCTGCCACTGCGGGAGTCATAGCGCAGCCAGATGCCCAAGTTCTTTTTCTTTTTTCTTTGAGAGTTTTTTGCTATAGAGCACGAGCGCTCACCAGAAAGACAGACAGAGACAGAGAGATAGAAAGTGAGAACTCATCCCCCAGGGGAGATGGCCATGCCACAGTCCCTTCTCCTCCATTCTCCTCTCAGGATTTTGGGCACACATGTACACGCACCCGGCGTGAGTTTAAGCCACCAGGTCTGGGACTCGAACCGCAGTCGACTACATGGGAGTCCAGCAACATAGCCATTACGCTAACTGCTGGTCCTGCATTCTCTCTTCTTAATGCATCTGATTTCAGTTCATGACAATAACACGTAGTTACTTAAAACTCCATTTTTTTTCTCTTTCCTTATGCTTTTCCAATAACAATTCTCCAGTACCTAACTGGGTGCCTACAGTTCAATTTGGATACTACCTACCTAGAATTAGCACCATCTCATGAGTTAAGGACTCTGTCCTGTGAGATTACTCCCATTTTAGAAGCCAGATCTAGGTGGGATCACCAGGCTACCTGCACATTCCCCATGAAACTTTCTCCAGATTTGACAATTCACTAGAATGATTCTAGAACTCAGGAGAGCATTATAATTAGGTTTGCAGTTTATTATACAAATAAGCAGCCATCCTACATACATAGGGTGAAGAATCCTGAGCCCAGGAACCTCTGTCCCCATGAAGTAAGGGTACTACCCTCCCAGTACCAACCAGGAAGCTCTCCCAAAACTTTGTCTTAAGTTTCTTAAATTGAGGTTTCATTACGTAGGCAGGGTCAGTTAACTTTTTCCTGCTGGTGGTGAGCTCGATCTTCAAACCCTCTTTCTCTGGAAATGAAGGGGTAGTGAAAATTCCAACCTTCTAGTCACGTGATTGGTTCTTCTGATGGCAGTCCCCCATTTTGAAGCTCTCTAGTGGTCTTCCAGGAGTCACCTCATTAGCATACACTCAGGTATGATTCATTGATGGGCTTCTTATGAATAGATAGCAAAAGACAACCCTTTCACTCAGAAAATTCTAAGGGTTTTAGCATCTCTATACCAGGAGTAAAGATCAAAATAAAATTAAATAAAAAAGTGTACATGTATATATATTAGGTATATATGTGTGTGTGTGTGTGTGTGTATGTATATTTTTTGTTGCGACACAGTCTGCGATTTACTTGATCTCTAAGTTAGAAGAAAATAACAGGATTCTTCCCACTCTCTCAGGATCAGTAATCCAAATTTCATGAGTAATATCTCCTAGATATGAAGCAGTCCACTTGATTATTCTGTTCCCTCAAAGCAGGGAGCCAGGGGAAGCGGTTTAATCTGGAAGGAGCCGCTGAAGGTGAGTCCTGAAGTGTATTCCTGTTGGAAACTGTTGCTACAGTTGTGGACCCAGAGGAGACAGTTAATCAGTTAATTCTCTAGTTGGTGCAAAACAGCAGCCCTTAAAGGAAAACACTTTAGGGCAGGGTTTTTTTGGAAAGGTGTTTGCTATAGGGCACGTGCGCTCGCCAGAAAGACAGAGAGAGACAGACAGAAAGTGAGATATCTCCAGGGGGAATGGCCACGCCACAATCCCTGCTCCTCCATTCTCCTCTCGAGATCTTGGGCACACATGCACACGCGCCCGGCGTGAGTTTAAGCCACCAGGTCTGGGACTTGAATTATAGTCAACTACATGGGAGTCCAGCAACATAGCCATTGCACCAACTGCTGGTCCCAAGGGCAGGGTTTCTTAAGCTCTAGGCTGAGTAATTTTTTGTTGAGGGACCATCCTGTGCATTGTTTGGCATGATCCCTGGCCTGAACCCACAAGATACCAATAGTACTGCCCTCCCTAGCTGAGGCAATCAAAACTGTCTCCAGAAAGTGCCCAAATCACCTTGGTGACCTCCACTGCCTTAGGAGGTCCTTGAGGCTAGGCTGGTGTGAGGAAGGAGCAGGAACTATCTTCCAGGCTGTACTGATCACCCACCTGTGGATGTGCATTCCTCAGAGCCGTTCATCTTTTAGAGCAGCAGTCAAGTCCTGATCCCAGCCCAGAGTATGTGGTATAGAACTATCATTCTCATCAGCTTACGTCCTGTCAGATTACTGCAGGGCCCTTTTATAATCACTGTTACACAGGTGGTGGTGACGGCTCTAACCTGACTCACGTCACAGGGCGGGCTCTCAGTGTCAGTGGCCTGTATATTCTCAGGTAGTTTATGTTGGAAGCATGGGTGTGCTTATACATACATGTGCAGGAATGTTTGCACTAGCTTTTGCATGTACTTAATCATGTGATACTTGTCAAGTTTATGAAGACTACAGGGTTGGGGGACCAGCGGTTAGTGTAATGGCTATGTTGCTGGACTCCCATGTAGCCGACCGTGGTTCGAGTCCAGGACCTGGTGGCTTAAACTCGTGCCAGGTGCATGTGTGTGCGTGCCCAAGATCCCGAGAGGAGAATGGAGGAGAAGGGATTGCAGCATGACTATCCCCACTGGGGGGTGATTTCTCACTTTCTGTCTCTCTGTCTCTCTCTGTCTGTCTGGCGAGCACACGCGCCCTATAGCAAAAACCTTTCCAAAAAAAAAAAAAAAATAGACTACAGGGTCTGGAGGTCTAGTTGGAAAAATAAATGGACTTCAGTGAGAACATCAAGCCAAGGATAGTTCAGATAGTCTTTCTCATATGGCCCCAGTAGTCCTCTTCATCAACCTTGTTCTTGTTGACCCTTCCCTGTGGGGGTAGTTTCAGAGTAAGTGATCATTGTGCCTGGTGGAAGTAGTGGACTGTGAATGGAATCACCACATGAAGAATTTTAGGTTTAAACCTATAGGGAAGCTACTGCCACACACTCAGACAACAAAAATAGAATAGAACTGTGTGAGCTTAGTGTCTCTTTGGAGTTTTGAATTTGCAAAACTAACTTTCAGAAGGTTATCTCCTCTAAATACTTTGTATGCAATTAGGATTTTTTTTTGCTATAAATGTTTAATCTTAGCAATCACTTTGTGATCCAAATGAGTAGACTTTCTGTAGCCAGGGTTGGAAGGAAAATAGCAATTTTCTACTCAAAAAGGTATTAAAAAATGTAAACAACAACAAAAATATCAGAACTTTTTATTTATTAAATAGTTAATTGTGACTGTTAATATTGTCAGCCACTAGAATTTGAAATAATTATATAAGATCAGATCAAGATTTAGATAAATAAATGTGAACAGGTCCAGGGCCAGCAGGCAGTGTGGTGGTTGAGGCACTGGACACTTCCACATGACTGACCACA